GGGAGGCTACCTTTGTTGCGACCTTCCAACAGTGTGTCACACCTACAGAAACACAAAATTTCATCCAACCGGAAAAACGAAAGGAGCCAAAGAACACAAAAAACCGCCTGTCATCCTACCTAAGTACACTCCTTTGTCCTTCGCTGACACTATCCTCATTGTCACAGTGGCACCGCTACAGAAAACACAACCGTTTAAAGCACAGTACAGAAAACAAAACGCCAAACGAAAAAAAAAAAAAAAAAAACCATCCGCAACTAAAGAACACAGTTTACCGCCTCGCATGCTACCCCGCTCCGTACCTGTCTCCGTCTACGTCAATATGTCACTTTCCATCTCCTTCTTCATCTTCTTCTCCACCTCCACCTCCACCTCCACCTTCGTCTTCGTCTTCGTCTTCGTCTTCGTCTTCGTCTCGCGCTGAAGAACGCAAACCATTGGCATCGTACGGCACTCCTTCTCCTCCGTCGTCGTCATCTATGTCTCTATCGTCGTCGTCTTCGTCTTCGTCTTCGTCTTCGTCTTTGTCAGTGCCATACCCGACGACGCCTTCGTCTTCGTCTTCGTCTCCGTCTAGACGCGCAACTGCATGATTTTGCACGCACTTCGACGTGTAGGAGGCTGCATTCTTGCCGCCGTACCTAGCTCAGTCCTCCTCAAACAAACATACAGTCATAACGGGCCCAAAAACAATTATGTTTTCTGTCCCCTCAAAATGCGCGATGTTAAAATAACAAGCTCGGACTTCGATGGAATCGAACCCGCGCCTTGCAGCAGGACTGAAAGCGAGTGCGTGTATCGCATCAGGCACCGGCAGGCTAGGCAACCACAGCCTCGGTATGGCAAGATAAATCAAATCAATCGTTTGTATTTTATTATTATTATTATTATCACTGTATAATGTAAAATTAAGAAAAAGCAATACTGAAAGTAGAATACGCCCAAATCATGGCCGTTTTCGCACCACGTGCCCGTTGTACCAACTTGTACGTATCTCTTGCACTTAGTTTTTTTCTGCCTGCCGAGGAGAGAAAAATTCAATGGCCGCGGAGCGTGGGCGCATGGATTTCGTCCGGAAGTACGTCTTGGTGCATGTCATAGGCGAATAACCCTCACCACGAGTCCACATCCAAAGCTCAACCAACCGAGGCTGATCCCGACGCCGATATCCGAAGATTATCACGAAGAAGAGCCAATCCCGAGGCGAACCTAATCCCGACCGAAGCTACTATTTTTTGGCTAAGGAAGGCGACCACGAAGCTCACCAACCAGCAGAGATCGATCCCGCTTTCTAAGCCCACGAGTAGAACCGAACCAAAGAAGCTGTGACCCCGAAGCTTAACCCGAAGGTGACCAAGAGGCTCACCTGCAGACCCCCGATCTGACCCACGACTTCGACCCGAGCTGACCTGAGGCTCACCTCTGTGGTCCTGTTCCCATGACTGACACGAAGCTTAACCCCGACGCTAACCGCGATGGTGACTGCGAAGCTCACCAACCAGCAGAGATCGATCGGGCTTCTAAACCCATGAGTTGAACCGAAGAACCTGTCACCAGAAGCTTAACCCGAAGCTGACCCGAAGCTGACCAGAAGCTTAACCCGAAGCTGACCCGAAGCTGATCCGAAGCTGACATCCGAAGCTGACCCGAAGCTCCATGTCGAGGTTCACGTTTGCCACGTGTACGACCGAAACCTCTCCTTTTCTTTCCCCCCCCTTTCCCCCCCTCCCTTTTGAATTCCGTTTTTTCCGTGCATCAGGCCGAGGAACAACACCACATTCGTTTCTGTTTTTTTTTTTTTTTTTTTTCCGTGCCGCCCTTGTACATTCCCGGGGGGGGGGGGAGGGGAGGGGAAGGGGAGACACAAAAGAAGAACAAGGATTATCATCATCATTGAAAATTGTGTACTATGAGAAAAAGGAAAGTCAAAAACGGAAATCACCAGAAAGCAGGGATCACGCGGCTGTCCAGTTCCCTTCGGCACAGCCGAGCTCAAGGAATTATACACGCCGCCATCGCCATCCTCCCCCCGTCGTCCTTGTCGACATCGAGGGTATGAGCACACACGGACTGAAACTTTTTTTACTATGGTGAATGTATCGGACGGTAGTTGAGTGAAAAAAAAGGACGGTAAAAAAAGTCGAGGCGAGGTGTGAGGACGCTGGACTTGAAACTAACGAAGCGGAATGTATGTGACCGTAGTCGCGACTAAGTACAGGAAAAAAAGTCGAGGTGTGAGTACGGGCGGCAGTGTAGTGTAGAATGATCCGGTCGGCTTTGAAGGCCGAGGGTTGTGGTCGCAGTAAGAAATCCCGTTATGTATGTACCTGAGCGCAATCCCGCCCATGTGCAGTGAGGAAAGTGTTGTTATTGTGTGCTGCACAGTATGACATGCCGCACGCCTGCTACAGTAGACTGGTGAGATCGTGTGATTGCGCTGAGATCATCATGTGCTGCACATGATCTCAGCAATCTACTGTATCTGACCGCCATTACGCTCCCATACAACCAAAGAAAGTGCTGGTGTCTTGCGACCGTAGATTGCATGCATCGAATATAGTGAAAAGTGAGCAATCAATCGGATTGACCCCCGCTCATGTTGAGAAATAATAAATCATCGAGCAATCAATCAATCAGTCAATCAATCAATCCGCCGATGCTGAATTGAAAAGGAGCAACCACTCAAACTCGATCCGCCGATGTTGAACAGAAAAGGGCGCAATCAATCAGTCAATCAATCAGTCAATCAATCAATCAATCTGTCGGCCGATGCCTAAAAAGGAGCAATCAATCAATCAATCAATCAATCAATCAATCAATCCGACCACTGCAGCAAATGCTCGTAGTGAAAGTAGAGATACAGAGAAGACCGATCGATGTTTCTGACGCTACTCACTTGTCGGCGACCGGTCGCCTCAGAACTGTTCTGACGCTGCTCTCTCGCCTCAGAGCTCCTCTGGCGCTGCTGTGACTGCTGTCTCCTATCGACGACCGGTCGCCTCAGAACTCTTCTGACGCGGCTGTCTCCTATCGACGACCGGTCGCCTCAGAACTCTTCTGACGCTGCTCTGCTGTCTCCTGTCGAGGACCGGTCGCCTCAGAACTCTTCTGACGCTGCTCTGCTGTCTCCTGTTGAGGACCGGTCGCCTAAGAACTCTTCCGACGCTGCTCTCTCGCCTCACAAGAACTCTTTTGACGCCGCTCCATTCTTCTTCTCATCATGATGACGGTTGCAAGCCGCAGAATGATGATCACATGTAGACGTCGCTTTCGTGCGGAAGGTGAAGTAGGTACAGAAACTCAAGAGCCAAAAAGCAAACCGTAATGGGCATGTGGATGAATCGACTGATTTTGATGGCATGAGGGATGGAAGGAAGAGGCCTGGGGTGAGGCCCCACTTGCTCGCATGCTGTTTTTTTTTATCACCTCTGATCACTGTAATCGACGGTCCTGAACAACCATTCGATGCGAGGGGGATGTCACCCCTGGGCCCTGGTCTAATTCTGTTGACGGGCAGACAATGGGTGCTCGCTCCTACTGTCCCTCCTCTCTCTCTCTCTCTCTCTCTGTGTATGTTTGTGTGTGTGTCGTTTGCTGCTACCTTCTTCGGTTGAGAGCATTGATTGCGTTGATCGTTTCCTGGTGTCCCATTGTACGATGCTGAGGGACAGATCCATTTACTGCGGCTCTACCATTAAATGCTCTTCTGCAGGCATCGCTGAGACTAGGAAGGGCCGATTCGTTGTCGTTGAACACAGAAGCCACCAAACGCATGATGGAAGTGTTTTCGGGGACCTGCCATGACAACGAATCATCAACATTGCCAGTCATCATCATCATCATCAGTCAGTCATCAGCGTCAGCAATCATTCATTCTTAACAATCAATCAATCAATCAATCAATCAACCAATCAATCAATCAATCAATCAACCAATCAACCAATCAATCAATCAATCAATCAACCAATCAATCAACCAATCAACCAATCAATCAGTTAAACAACGAGTGAATAAATCGAGCAACCAGGAAATGATTCGATCCTCATTCTCATCCTCACCCATCCTCATCCTCATCATCCTCATCATCCTCATCGTTATCATCGTTATCATCATCGGGAGCAGCAGCAATGGCGATGATGAGCTGCCACACAAAATGAATTGGTGATGAGCTGGAACATAGTACGATGAGACAGCGATTCAGGGAGGGGGAAACAAGAAAAAGAATTGCTGTAATTGTTTATGCATTACAATTATTATTCGGCAGCGATCATAATAACTGGCCAATAACAACCAGGGTGGCTGAACCGCATTGGATCATTATTTATGCTTCACAAACGCGCACTCACACAAGCAAAGAAAACAAGTAACAAGAACGAAAAAAAGTAGACAGAAGATCCAACAATAGCCCCGCTCAGGCCACAGTCGCCACACCGTCCGCTGAAGTGCATTCCGACCGTGGATTGTGTGGCTGCTGCTCTTCGGGCCGCCCTCCGCTGGGAAGAGCAGATAACAGAACAGAGTAGAAAACAGAGAAGAGCAGAGCAGAGCAGAGCAGAAAACAGAGCAGAGCAAAAAACAGAGCAGCAGACAGAGCAGAGCAGAAAGCAGAGCACAGCAGAAAGCAGAGCAGAGCAGAGGGTGAATCGAAACCCACCATGGTACACACTGCTACACACATAGTGATGAATTTGAATAAGGGACGACCAGACGAAAGGCTCCTGCCACGTCAGGGAGGGTCGGGATTGGACCACGTGGCAGGCGATCGGACGACATCCAAGAGTCCTGGCAACTCGATCATCACAGGGTCGGGATCGGATACACGTTGAAGTGTTTTTCGCTCGTTTTTTCGTCTCTCTCTCTCTCTCTCTCTCTCTCTCTCTCGTTGTTGTTTTTTTTTTTTTTTTGCTTGCTTCGAAGTTGAAGTGTAGTTTATGATGTGAATATGTTTGAATTAATTCAATTTAGGAACGAACGGCGGACGACGTAAGGTTTTGAGTGGCAAAGGCAAAAAAGACGCGCGCCGAAACAACAATCTGGGTAGAAAAGAATCCTAAGCCTCTTTTTTTTTTTTTTTTTTTTTTTTTAATGACACCCAGCCTGACACCACGGCCGTTGGTACAGTCATTGCTATTGCTTTCTTCGAACTCCGCCGCGGTTTTCTTTGCCGCGGAGTGTTTTTTTTTTGGTTGCTCATTCAGTACTCAAAAGTGGCACCAACGTACTCTCCCGTTAATTTAATTTCAATTTCGGACTTTGGTGGTTCTTGGCTTTAATTCAGTTAGCTGTATAGGATGCCTTAGGTGACTTCTTATTCACTGTATTAAATATATAATACTATAATATTAAGGTAATTGAATTGGAAATTATTAAATATATAATAATATACGATTAAGGTAATTGATTTCGAAACCATTCTTGACTAATCATGCGTTATAAATTTTGCATTTAGCTCAACAAATTCATAATGTGATGAGGACGAGGGCAATTTTTGGTGAGTTATGATATTATTTACCGAGACAGTTGTCGCCAGCTCCAGTATTCCTCCATCAACTGGTACTAGGGCTATCGTCTGCAAGAGGAGATAGAACAGGAAAAAAAAAACAAAAAAAAACAGAGATTGAAAATTCAAAGCAGAAGGGACCGATATCAAGGGCCCCGGGAACGAGAGAGAGAGAGAGAGAGAGAGAGAGAGAGGAAAATACACAGCCAGCCGAGAGCAGAACCAAACACACAGTTAGAGGTCAGGGTGCAAGCTTGTCTCCCTTTTTTTTTTTTTTTTTTTTTTTTCCCTCTTCTCTTCTATTAGGTTCCATGTAGACTCGAACCCAGGTCTGGATTACAACAGCCAATGTATGGGAGCATGAACTGAGAGCTGCAAGCTTGTAGTCCTTTCTCATTTCGTGAGGTCAAGTCTTTTTTTTTTTTTTTTAATTTAATTAATAAAAAAACAGGCTTCTCTTCAACTTCCAGAACGTTGCACTACTGACCCTGAAGATCAATGGCAAACATAAATTCATTTTCTTTTATTTTTATTTATTCTTATTCTTATTCTTATTCTTATTAATTAATGTGCACCTCGTATCCTTGGGTTAATTAAAAAAAATATAATAATAATAAAAGTTGCACCTCGCGTCCAGCATCTCTTGCTGAATTTCATGCCTTGAGAGGCGGTTGCAACCTGGATGTTGTTTGCTCTGGTCTCGCCGCTTCGACGAACCACTTGAGAAGTTGAGCCGAGCCCCGATCAGGCCCCATCCATATTCGGCGCAATGAACCTAGACCAGTGAGCTAGATATGTATGTATGTGGACGTCTGTTGGTAATCACGACTCTCTCTCTCTCTCAGATCGGGATGCAGCTGTCCCTCATAACGCGCATACAGCCTTCAACTTACGGGCCGGGCAAAATTCATCATCACAAGTTTGGCCTCCAACGATCAATGGCCAAACAGCTGCGGTAAGGTTTACTGTCCGTTAGAGTCCCCGTTAGAGTCCCCGTTAGAGTCCGTTAGAGTCCGTTAGAGTCCGTTAGAGCCCGTTAGAGTCCGTTACACCCATTCTTTTCACGACTGTCCAGAGTGTAGTTCATTTAATTTAGACCGTTCATTTAGATTAGACCCTTTCCTACGGTCGACGATGACTGTAGGGGTTAGAGGGGTCTGTTAGACCTATTTTTTTCAGGACAACTTTGTGTTTTTGGATCAAAGGGTGGTCTATCTAGGGAAGGAGGATGGTCCCATTATGACTCCCATAGGGCCATAGGGAAGGTTGGTCTAGGCCCCTAGGCCCCTAGGGAAGGAGGGGGGTTAGTCTAAGAGTAATAGGGAGGGGATACCGGTGGGAGCATCCGACTTTATAAGAGGTAAGGTGGAATAATTTCGTCGTCACCTGAGTGGACGAGGGAGAAGCCGCAGAAGGAGGATGCGGCACGTACTCATCTAACCGCTCTACTTCTGTTGCTTGGCGCATGAGAGTGGCTATGAGAGTAAAGCCGAAGATTTTGTGCTGTGATACTATGAATGAAGCAATGATTGAGGATTGAGATTGCCTGTGCCTTTTCCGTTTTCCTTTTTCCGTTTCTCTTCTTTGCTTTTCACTTTTAATAATGAGAAGGCTATTTAATATCTGCTTTAGGAGCTGGATAGCTAAACGGGGTGCACAGGGAATGTCATTGGTTGTCGTTGATCGTTGTTATATAAGACATCATCGAGGTCGGCTGTACTCAAGAAGACAGTCACCACCCGTTTCTTCCTTCTACACAAACGCCAATCCTTGCACATGACAAGATCTACATATATACATACATACATACTACGTACATGCGTACGTACTGACAAAGTCTAACATTTGCATTAACCTGCATACATACATACATACATGATACATACATACAGATGCATCTCCAACATGTGTGCACACATTGCCGGGAGGAGAGAGAGAGAGAGAGAGAGAGAGAGAGAGAAAGCGAATAGCTCACCTTCAATCCTGCGGCCTGTGTTGTAGGAGACCAAGGGAAGTTCGAAATTTTCGTTGAACCGGTGGCGCGGATAGTTGGAGGAGAATGTGCATCCCAGCATACAACCAATGCCACCAAATTGCACGAATGGCCATCCGAATGATCCGATGGTCAGTGGCCATCCCCATCACCATCACCATCGCCATCGCAGTCAATGCCGTGTCCGCATTTCCAAGATGAACAAACCAAATGGAGTCAAAGGCCAACAGATCGAAAGTGAGGAACGAACGGATTGTCCATCAGAGGGAGACGACCCCACATACTTATTTCTATTCATCAATGAACCCTGAGCTTCCGATACAGCTGTATGTCGGACTTGTTTGCAGAATGATTTCTGACCAAAACGCCATTGACTTTTTAAGAGGGAAGAAGAAGAAGAAGAAGAAGAAGAAAAAGAAAAAGGAAGGAAGCAGCAGCAGCAGCAGCAGCAAGAGAAGGGAGCAAGAAGAAAAAGAGATTAGGAAGAACAAGACGACCACTAAAGAAATGACATTGTGAGGGACATAGCAGCAGCATGAGAAGGAAGGTTCGACGTCAGAAACATGCATTTTGTGGGAAGTCACATCTTCCCACTGAGTTTTGGTTTCGAGTCCGGGTGATACACTGTACGCAGTCATTTGATGGTGTGCGCCATACTCGAGTTCGAACTGAATTGACCGAATGGGGCCATAATGCGGGTCGGATGCGCTCAGTAAAGCCATGCAGTAAATACACAGCCTAAACACAGAGCGAAAAGCGATGCCAAGACAGAAACATAGCAATACACACTCACGTTGGACAGTGGGTACCGTGCATTGCGCGTGCAACTACCCACCCTAATAACCACACACACACACACACACACACACACACACACACAGAGAGAGAGAGAGAGAGAGAGAGAGAGAGAGAGAGAGAGAGAGAGAGAGAGAGAGA